TTAAAATTTATTCAAAAAAGATAATTTTGGTTCTAATCAACCATGATTGAACTGGGTTTAATATCAGATGATTATTTTTTAGAAAGAGAGTATTAATTTTTAATCATTCGATATGATTAAACTGAGTTAAATCGAAGACATCATATCATTGTAATCTTTGCTATCCAATTTGTTCGAAGCATTTACCTTTTCGCGGCAGATGACGCGATTGTGCCGGTCTCATAGCGGGCGTATGAGAAAATGGTAGAGTTGCCAGTTTTCTTGATATTTTGTCTTCGGTTAAATGTCAAATTGATTCAATTACAAGCAAAATGGGAATAATTTAATTTATCTGTGTAGGAAGGTTCCGCACCATCGATAAAAAATCATTAAAAATAACTCAATTTTCGAAACGTTTACACGTCAAACGACACAAGCCAAACTTCAAATCTTATGTTCCCTACCAGTAACTCAGCCAGATTTTAGCGGCCATAAGTGATCGTAAAATACTGGATAAACGAAATTTTATTTTCAGTGTGGAGAATAGAAGAACTATGAAAGTGATGATGGTTTCAACTAAATAGCCTAAATTTAAAAAGAGGCGACATGTCAAAATTGGAACAATTTATATGTGCATTTTGTTCGTTACACTGTAACTGGAAAGTACCCATTAATGGGTGAAAAAGTGCCTATTTCGCGGTAAAGTAGGTAAACTCATAAAATGGGTAAAACATCATTACCCACTAATGGGTAAAGAGCTTGTACGTCAAATCATGGAGTACTTTTTACCCATTTCCAAAATTTATTGTATTTGGTAACTGGGTAAAAAGTACCCATTTTAAATAATATTTCAATGGGATAATCTGATATTTGATATAATCTGATATTTGAAAATTTGTTTGTTGTATGGAAAATACGGTTCGAAAGAAAAGAAAATAAAAATTACTGATTACTAAACTTGGTTTTTATTGAACGTAAACAATGAATTTAGAAATACAATAATCATCAGAATCGTTTTCGTCAGCATTGATGGATTCCATAAACGATAAAACTAAACGATTGACCATCTGCCGGGTGCTGGTAGTTTTGATTCCGTAGCACATGAGCACAAAATCAATAATATTCTGCACTGCTGCTGGCGGACGAATGTTAAAAACAGTTAACACTTTGAATAGAGTGTCCAGCGCGCAGATGGAGTCAATTCCACCGTGGATGCGTCAACGAAGATGGATTAATTGTTGCCATTGAAAATCACATGGGGCACCAACTTTTATTTTATTTTTCAACGAGACAAAAGCACTCCAAGTATGTCAGCAAACTAACGGTGCAACAAAGATATTTTCACCCAATAATGGGTAAAAATTTACCCATTATTGTTCCCTGAACAATTTTCAAAAATGGGTGAAAAAATACCCACTATTTGAAATTTTCATTTACGCATTTTTTGACAGCTTCATACACTACCAAAAAATGGGTACTTTTTCACCCATTAATGGGTACTCGCCAGTTACAGTGTATATTGCAACAAAATACAGGCAGCTTATGCAACGTATCAACTAGATTACAACTAAAAAAATAAAAGTTCATATTTTCCACAGGCCTAACAGGTGAGATAACCACTCTCTGAATGTTTCTGCTCTTTTTGACGTTCTACGGGCTGGCGCTTTTGGTTTAAAGTTCATATAGGAGATTTCAAGCTGAACATTGCATTAGGTCCTAAGTAACATTGATTGATTCTCTTCGTCGACTTCCTCTTTCGTTAATAACTTGATCACATAACCGTTTCTTGTTGTGTTTGTCGTCTTAGATGCTAGATAAAACCTTATTTTACCAATCTATATGCTGTAAATACCTGAGAATGTCTTTACATGGCCATGGGGATTAGACTGATGCAAAAATTGAAATTTTCGCTCCACAGCTCCAACGGTTTCAAATCGGGTCCTTATTAGCCTCCGAAAATTTAAATTCATTTGATAAGAAACTGACTTGGCACAAACCATTTAAAGTTTATATGGAAATTACTATAAGAAAACAAAACTTTTTGTTCATTGTCTTCTAGCCTTTTAACATATTGTACTGTTAACAAATAATGAGGGCCTTCGATCTCAGACGCTTCAAATTCCGAAGTCGAGCATTGGACCATGCGGGTTTGGGAGAGGGTCTCCTCAATGGGACAGAATCAGTTATTGCCCGGCCAACGACCTCAGCGAAGAAGTTGGCGGCTTCATCAATAGATGAACACGTGTCAAGGAACTGCCAATCTGCTTGGGCAAGCGAGTGACTCAGCGCCTAGTCTCTATTACGAGTTCATGACGGTGGAGATTGGCTCTTCTTCGTACAATTAATTATATGATTTGAGTAGTAGCTATACTGAAGATCTGAGAGATGTCGCCCCTTCAGTGGTAGGAAAATCATTTTTGCAGTATGGAGAATGCATTTCCAAATGGTTTCCTACCATTCCCATACATTCGAAATGACTGTCCCTCTGGATGTGGATGATGTCAAAAACAAAACATGATTAATTCCAATCGTGTTTGCCACCAAGACTTTTATAGTTCCTCTGTAAATTTTGATCTGACCATGTTGCAAGAATTCCATGGAATACCAGATCACCATCGGTCGATGGTTGTTCCCTTAATTGTTGCAAACAAGTACCACCATTTCAGTAACAATAGGTGTTTTTTCACAGATGGGTCAACTTTATACGCTTCCACTGGATTTGGATATTCAACGAATGTCATAACGCCTCATACCAACTGTAAAAACTCTGTTCCGTATATGTTGTGGAACTAGCAGTCATATTCTACACAGTAGTGCAAATTGCCTCACTACCCTCTAATTTCTATTTAATTTGTACGGATAGCCTTAGCTCATTGGAGGTTATTCGTTCAATGTTCTGGGATCTGGGAAGATAGTCACATTATATGCGCCCACAAGTGTCGAACAAGCCGTGGTTCAAAGGGTTGGACATGAGCCAAGACTTTATACGTGTCCTGTCGAGGCTCATGTCCAATCACTGCTCGTTAGACTAGCATTTCTTTCGAATCGGGGTCACAGGCAGTAATTTGTGCGCTTGTGGTAGTGGTTATCACGAGATCGACTACGTGCTTTGGTCATGCACCCGCTATTGTGTTGCTAGATCCGAGTTATCTGCATCCCTCAGTAGACTGGCCCACATTTATATGTAGGGAAATTTTTTATCATTTTTTCAAAAGAGCCAACCCCTAGATTTGTGCTGTTAGGTGAGAAAACCACTCTCTGAAAATTTCAGCACATTCGGATGTAACACGAGCTGGCGCTTTTGATTTAATTCCATTCCTTTACTCTTTTGTGCATAGAACTGATTCAGCGAACTCGATTAACCTCAGAATTTCAGCACACGTAGCTTAAACTATAAGGAACAACTTTGCTGAAGCCAGCTTCACGATTCATGTTAGTATTATAAAGATATTAATTAATTAAGTGAATTCTGTTCGTATATTGCAACAAAATATAGGCAACTTATGCAACGTATCAACTAGATTACCACTAAAAATAAAAGTTCATATTATCGAGAGGCCAACATCCAGGCTCTATCACAGGCCAACATCCAACCACTATCTGAATGTTTCAGCTCATTTTGACGTTACACGGGCTGGCGTTTTATGTTTAATGTTCATATAACAGTATCTTTGAAATTTTCATAAACAAAATGATCATAAAGGGAAATGGCTCTAAGGTTGGCCTATGGATCTAAGATTGGGCCCATCGCTAAAAATCTGCTATTTATCAATTTCATCTTAGCGGCATTGGTATGGTACTAATGGATATTTTTGGTCGCTATTGAAAATTTAGTCTATTGCTGAATTTATGTATGGGCCCAAATTAGCCAACATTACATCGATTTCTCCTACATTCAAAAGTGAATATCTCAATAAAGCTAGCTGGATTCATGATGTAATCTTGAACAAAGTTGTTACTCATTAATTGAACTACTAGTTTGGAAAATCTAAATCAAATTGAGAATATGACCACTTTATCTTGTGGCTAAAATTCATAAGTGTTTTTTATGGAATTGTTACGTTCTTTTGCCTGCGTGAACCATCAATGTTGAGATTATGGGGTCCGTGTGTTGACCACTCGTCTTTTGACGCTTGGGAAAATAAAAATGGTTAAAGACGTATAAGAGCTACCTCATGTTAGACGAAAATCATTCATAAGTCACGGTTATGAAATTCATAAGTCAGCCTTATGAAATTCTTAAGGGTATTTGCCTCAGTGTATAATACTAAAATTGATTTTCATGGCTAGTAGTTTGCTATAAAAAAGTTACCTAAAATCGAAAACAACAACACGAACACGAACAACGAAGGAATTTGATAGCAAAGATTACATCCTCAGAAGAAAGGTTTGTGTGCTCATTTTTCTATGCGTTGCTTCCACATTCACTCAAGCATAGCGCTATTGCATCTGTCGCTTGAATTTTGGCAAAGCTGCCAGTCTTCTTGATATGATGTCTTCGCTAAAATGGAGTGAGTGGAGTTGGATTCAAACAACTGGGGACTGGAATGTAACACACATGATAGGAAATAATTTAAAAGAGTGAGTTAAAAAAATAGGATTTAAAAAAGCTATTTGTCTGTTTTGATGGCATGCTAAATAAAAACTGGAAAATCCAAGAAAAATTGGAATAATGGTATCGCTGCTCAGAAGAATGGTTTGTGTAGGGTTAATGTCCCTATTGGGCCCATACATAAATTTTGCGGGAATGCATTTTTGACAATGTTTTACTAGCAACCAAAATTATCCATTTGTAATGTCCAGATAGACGCATTGTTCCACAGAGGTTTTTTATCGGTGGGCCTAATTTTGATATCCATAGGCCAACATTAGAGGCATTTCCTCTATTTTCTCATTATTCTATGCGTTGTTTGCATCTGTCGCTCAGATTCAGGAAAAGTTACCAGTCTTCTTGATATGATATTTTAGATAGCAGGCTGGAACTAAATGTCTTTAGGATACTTTCAGCTAGGATCACTTACTCATAGAATCGTGCCTCTATATCTGCCATACGTTGAAAATAGGTCATCGCTGAAGACCCGTTCAGTGGTGCATACAATATTTTGTACTGCTTTGAAAGGTCATCCAACGATTCTACTGGTGTGTCCAATCGTGATACGGTCAAGAAAGCAGCCAAGTTGGCAGTGTACGATGCAATAATGATAAATCTAAAAGTGTTAAAGTTAAAGTGCCGTTGTTAAACAAAGCAAATGCTATTATAAGATAATCTTACCCAAACAACCACCATGTTGCAGCAACCAATCGTCCGGATAGATTTTTTGGCGCTTCACCTCCTCCTTGCGGTGTCAGAGATGTCATACAAAACCAAAGACATTCTTTTATATTAA